TAGATATATATATTATATATATATAAAATGGTGGTTGATAAAAACTGGAAAGAGGGGTTTCGGTTTTGTGCTCTTGAAGCTTTGTCTGGGGAAGAGGAAGATTGAAAATGTCATACGATATATAAAAGGCAAAAGTAGAGAATGGGTGGGGACAAATGACAATGGATAAAATTGTCATCATCCAAAATTTTCATTTTTCCACGAATCCTATAATTGTCCTATAATTATGCTATGGATAATAATCGATTAATTTAATAAAATTATATGAGATTTTTGTCTCGTGGAGCTGAGAGGATTGGCTTAATCGTAGGAGGATGATTCTTTTCAAGATTTATTATTATTATGAGGTGCTTTTGTGGTTAAGATTAATTTAGGATGAGGAACCCTATATCACATCACATACGCAATTTGTTAAGCAAAATAGGCAATTGGCAGTTAAGATAAGGTTGTTTCCCCGCATTTTGACTACTGATGGTGTCTAATCGTTGGATAATAAAATTTATATTTATTTACTACAGCAAATTACAATGAAATCCATTAAATACTACAATACGGTCAGTTGTACAAATATGACTGATACTCAAATATTGTCAAAATTCAAGCATTTGATATAAAAATTAATTTTTAACAATTTTTAAAATAAAAAAATGTGATGCTGTTAACTACGATGGCATTGTGATTTGAATGACTTGAGATCCGATACATTGTTAAAATAAAAGGAATAAATCATATTCATGGCAAAATCAAAATGAAAGGCTCTACGCCATTCATTGATGTCCTTTTAGTAAGGTATGCTAACAATTCTTGTGAAAAGGATTAAAAACAGATAAATTGTGGTCCAAAATTTTTTTCTATATATAAAGTCAAATAAAAGGTGCATGAAACACATGCACGACTATCTTTTACATTTATGGATGAAATTAATGCACTTTTTGAAATGTGATGTTCTTGTTGCTAAGAATCAATGGTCGTAGATAGTATTATTCAATTTTCAATGCCTAACACATATGTTTAGGCCTAGTTTCGGGCCGAGGCGAGTCGCGAGTGAGGACTGGCCTCGGCCCAAAATTAAAGGGAGCCTCACAGTGCCCTTTCACTATTTTTTTCTTTTTTAGAAGTCAGTACATGGACCATTAAATCCATTATCCACTAAACCATTCTTCACCCAATTCCTCCTCCGCATTTTTTATTGTACGAGATTATGAGAAACAAAAATTTTCTAGGGCATGAAATTTGTAATCTAGTACTAAAATTTCCCAAACCTTCCTCTCAAATTTAACCTTCATGGTCCGACCGGCAATGCTTAAACCTTCACGGTGTGTGATGCAATTTTTTAATTTTTTTTCAGCTGTTATTTTTAATTGGAAACAACTAAACTACGATATTTTAGGACATCTTATGAAATTTCATAACAAAAGGATATCTTTGTGAGACTTCAACCGTATTGCCTCTTGATCTTCTTGGTCGCTTTAGTTCTGATTTTTCTAGCTTCATCATTCTTTCAACGTGTTAGTTTGTCTTTATTTTGTGTGAACATTTATAATGCATGTAGGCCATAAATGAAATTCAACTTATCTTATGTTATAATTTTTGAATGTAACGAAAATTGCATTACTACTTATTACAACGTCTACACGACATTTTCCAGAATTTGATTTACAAGTCCATGATTGGACTAAAAGCAAAAAAAAAAAAAAAAA